AGCACTTTGCATTTCTCCTTGTTGAACTGCATTCTGTTGTTTTCTGCCCACTTGTCCAACCTGTCCAGGTCTGCTTGTAGTTGTTCCCTGCCCTCCAGCATGTCCACTTCTCCCCGCAGTTTTGTGTCATCCGCAAACTTGGACAGAGTACATTTCACTCCCTCGTCCAAGTTGCTGATGAAGATATTGAAGAGTATCGGTCCTAGGACCGAGCCCTGCAGGACTCCACTGCCCACACCCTTCCAGGTCAAAACCGACCCATCCACCACGACTCTCTGGGTACGACCCTCCAGCCAATCCGCCACCCACCGGACTGTGTAGTCATCCAAGTCGCAGCCTCTTAACTTGTTCACCAGTATGGGGTGGGATACCGTATTGAAGGCCTTCCTGAAGTCTAAGTAAACAACGTCAACCCCTACTCCTGCGTCCAGGCGTTTTGTAACCTGGTCATAAAAAGAGACTAGATTAGTCAGGCGTGATCTGCCTGCTACAAACCTGTGCTGGTTTCCACTCAGCATAATTTTTCCTGCCGGGCTCTCGCAAATGTGAGCCTTGATAATTTTTTCAAAGACTTTGCCAAGGATGGAGGTGAGACTGACTGGCTTATAGTTGCCTGGGTCCTCCTTCCTCCCCTTCTTGAAAATGGGGACCACATTGGCCCTTTTCCAGTCCTCCGGGACCTGGCCCGTGCGCCACGAGTGTTCAATGGATGTGGAGCAATTGGACAGAGTCCAGTGGAGGGCAACAAAATGGTGAGGGGATTGGGGGGGGCATGACTTATGAGGAGAGGCTGAGGAAACTGGGCTTATTTAGTCTAGGGAAGAGAAGACTGAGGGGATATAAAAGCCTGTGCAAATAGGGAACTTCGATTTGGATTCGGATTTGGCCGATTTGGATGCCAGATTCGATTCAGAGATCCGAATCATTTTTTCTTTTTGATTCAGTCGAATTGCTTTGGAAGATTCGGAGCTGATTTGGAGATTCGGCCGTAAGGTATGATGGGTAATCAATGAAGTATGTATAATGTTTTTTAGCAGATTCGGATGAAACTTGCAGGGGTGGTAGCCTCTGCCGAGAGCATGAAGCGTGCCCAGTTTCAAGGTTATAGGTCAGGGGCTTCTGGGAAACTGCACCTCAAACTGCTGACAAGCAAAACTCGTGTCATGTGTGTATGTTAACCCACAGTGGGGTGAAAACTGCACGGGTGGTAGCTCTTGCTGTGGCCACGAAGCCTACCAAGTTTCAAGGAGATAGGTGCAGGGGTTTCTGTGAAACTGCACCTCAAGCTGCGGACAAGCAAAACTCATGACATGGGTGACACTGTGTGTGTTAAGGTGCAGTGGGGTGAAAGCCGCAGGGATGGTAGCCCCTGCTGAGGCCATTAAGCCTGCAAGATTTCAAGGAGAGAGGTGCTGTGGTTTCTGGGAAACTGAACCTCTGCACTTTTACCTGTGCTGCTACATCCCCCTAACCCCCTGCCCACCCCAGCCTGCACCCTCACCCCCTGTTGCCTCTATTTCCATTTTCACTGACTGGCTTTCTTGCCTGCATTGCATGCTAGGCCAGCCTCTGGCTTCTTTACTATTCCTGCCATCCAGGACCAGGAGACACACCAACTGCAGGTGTTTCCTCAGCTTGACAAAGGGTTTTTCAACCCGAAAGCTTCTTAAGATATATATATTTTTAACTATTTCCGTTTTTTTCATAATAAACATATAAACATAAAAACACAAGATAAGCCATCACACACCATTAGTAACATATATCCAACACATCTTTACTTCTTGTTGTCAATTCCTTTATAAGAAGAAAGGCTGTGACAGTTCTGCCTGGGTACCTTCGATGCTGCTGGTGCTATTGGTGTTGAGCCAGCTGAGTTATTTGGACCTGCCATCGTTTACAGTGGTGGACCAGACTGAGGATGTAAGGGTGGAGGAGGCCTCACGGGGGCACGCTACCATGTTGTGCAGAGGTCCCAATGCCAGGAAGGGCACACGTGAACACATACATAGTCCCACAAGCACCCATGTCACGAGTTTTTCCTGCCTGTGGCCAGAGGTGCAGGGCCCCAGAACCCGGAAGACCCTGCACCTATCTTCTTGACAGATGACAGGCTTTGTGGCTTTAGCAGGCCTGCAGTTTTCACCCCGCTGTGCCCTAAGACAGACCTTGTCACTTGCACAAGCACCCATGTCACAAGATTTGCCTGTCAGCAGCCAGAGGTGCAGGGCCCCAGAACCCGGAAGACCCTGCACCTATCTTCTTGACAGATGACAGGCTTTGTGGCTTTAGCAGGCCTGCAGTTTTCACCCCCCCCCTGTGCCTTAACACACACCTAGCGTCACCTCTATGTCATGAGTTTTGCTTGTCAGCAGTTTGATGTGCAGTTTCCCAGAACCCCCTGCACCTATCTTTTTGAAACTTGACAGGCTTCATGCTCTCAGCAGGGGCTACTACCCCTGCAAGCTTCATCCAAATCAGCCCAAAAACAACAAAGTTATAGATATTTCATTGATTCTCCATTATACCCTATGGCCGAATTGCCAAATCTTTTCCAAATCAATTCAGAAGCTCCGAATCGACTTGGACAGCCTGAAGCTTCTAGTGATTCAATTCAGATTCGTAGATTTGGCCTCCAAATCGTCTGAATCATCTCTGAATCTGAATCGTGATCCGAATCTTTGCAGAGCCCTAGGATTTAATAGCATTTAACTACCTAAAGGGGAGTTCCAAAGAGGATGGAGCTGGACTGTTTTCAGTGGTGAGAGATGACAGAACAAGGAGCAATGAGCTGAAATTGCAAGGGAAGTTTAGGTTTGATATTAGGATGAATTTCCTCACTCGGAGGGTAGTAAAATCCTGGAACAGGTTCCCCAGAGAGGTGGCGGAAGCTCCATCCTTGGAGGTTTTCAAGACTGGGCTAGACAACGCTTTGGCTGGGATGATCTAGTTAGGGCTGGTCCTGGTTTGGTCAGGGGTTGGACTAGATGACCTGCTGATATCCCTTTTAACCCTAATTTTCTATGATCCTGGAGCACACTCATTCACCTCTATA